CTTTTGTTTATTCTTTAACGCAACTAAAATCATTTTTATGCATACCCTTTGTACGGGATGTGGTTTTTAGGGAGCAGTATTCAAAGGAAATATACATATTCATTGTTGGCTCTCTCTCTCCAGGAGTGATAAAATACTGAATATGGAAAAATGATAAAGGTTCACACACACCATACACACAACACACACACACAAACACACACATGTACGCACGCACACACATACACACACAACAACACACACGTACACAAAACACACACACACACACACGTACACACACACACACACACACAGCCACACACAGTACACACATCACACATTACACGGCAACACACAGCGCACACACATGCACACAAACGCATACCCCTGTACATATACAGGTGCACACAATACACACAACGCACATTAACACACTCACATTGGTAACAACACCACAACCACACGTCCGCAACGATGTACTATCCGTATACGACGTGTCCGTACAAAGCTTCATCATATCCAGAATATTCATATTTTTCCTACCAATCAATTCCCATCTTTCTCTCTCTCCCTTATTATCTCCCTCTATTTATCCGCCGTTTCAGCTGTGTCTCAGGTTTCATGGTGACAATACACTCGCCTCTATCACAGCGATCTCTCTTGGGTGTGTTGCGGCCCGCCACTTCTTGCTCGGGATAGGGACAGGATAGCAACCGAGGATAGGGGATAGGGAAGGACCGAGGATAGGGGAGAGGGAGGACCGAGGATAGGGGAGAGGGAAGGAGCGAGGATATGGGAAGGATAGCCGACGATAGGGGATAGGGGATAGGAAGGACCAGAGGATTAAGGAAAGGGATAGGGAAGGAGCAAGGATAGGGATAGGGAAGGACCGAGGATAGGGGAGAGGGAAGGACCGAGGATAGAGGAGAGGGAAGGACCGAGGATGGGGGATAGGAAAGGACCGAGGATAGGGGATAGGGAAGGACGAGGATGGGGGATAAGGAAGGACAGAGGTAGAGGATACGAGGATAGACAGGAAGACTGAGGATAGGGATAGGGAATAGGGAGGACGAGGATAGGGGAGAAAGAAGGACCGAGGATAGAGGAGGGGGAAGGACCGAGGATAGGGGATAGGGAGGACCGAGGATAGGGGAGAGGGAAGGAGCAAGGATAGGGGACAGGATAGCAACCGAGGATAGGGGATAGGGAAGGACCGAGGATAGAGGAGAGGGAAGGACCGAGGATAGGGGAAAGGGGAAGGACGGGATAGAAGAGAGGGAAAGGCCGAGGATAGGGAGAGGGAAGGAGCAAGGATGGGGGATAGGGAAGGACCGAGGATAGGGATAGGGAAGGACCGAGGGTAGGGGAGAGGGAAGGAGCAAGGATACGGGACAGGATAGCAAACCGGAGGATAGGGGATAGGCGAGGATAAGGGGAAGGAGAAGGACGAGGATAGGGGTAGGGAAGGAGGATAGGGAGAGAGATAGGACCGAGGATGGACCGAGGATAGGGATAGGGAAGGACCGATGATTAGAGGAGAGAGAAGGACCGAGGATAGAGGAGGGGGAAGGACCGAGGATAGGATAGGGAAGGACCGAGGTGGGGGATAAGGAAGGACAGAGGATAGAGGATAAGGAAAGACCGAGGATAGGGGATAGGGAGGACCGAGGATAGAGGAGAGGGAAGGAGCAAGGATAGAGGACAGGGAAAGAGCAAGGATAGGGGATAGGGAAGGACCGAGGATAAGGAACAGTGAAGGACCAGGGATAGAGGACAGGGAAGGATCAAGGATATAGAAGGATAGGGAAGACCAGGGACAGGGGATAGAGAAGCGTCTTCGGAAGGTAAATAGTGTGTGTGGGTGAGAGATTAATGAGCAAAAGGGGGAAGGGAACGGGAGATAATAATGAAGGGGAGATGACGAGGCAGCGAGAATCCTACACCCAAGGGCATGTCCTGTTCTCTATCCTTGTGGTGTGTTGGGGGGGGGGAGGAGTCATGCGTGGGGAGAAGTGTCATGTGAATAAGGGTTTATGGGTGTGTCTGCTGGAGGTACAGCTACGTGGGCGTTTGTGTGTGTTTGTTCTTACTCTCTTTTGTTTCTTCTCCGTTTCTCTTTTTTTTTCTCTGTATCTGTCTCTCTCTCTGTCGCCTTTCTTTCTTTCATTCTCTCTCTCTTCATCTCTCTCTCTCTCTTCCTCTCTCTCTCTTCTCTCTCTCTCTCTCTCTCTCTCTCTCTCCTCTCTCTCTCTCTCTCTCTCTCTCTCTCTCTCTCTTCTCTTTCTCTCTTGCTTCTCTTTCTCTCACTCTCTTCTCTATTCATTCTCTAATTATACATTTCTCCCTCTTCCTCACTGTCCAATCACACACACACACACACAACACACACACACACACACACACACACACACACACACACACACACACACACACACACACACACGCACCACACACACACGCACACGCACACGCACACGCACACGCACACGCACACGCACACGCACACACACACGCACACGCACACGCACACGCACACGCACACGCACACACACACAGCACACACAATCTATAATCGTATTCAACATGAACACCCAAGCACACCCTCATTCCCACACACACTCCGATTCCACTTTGACAAATAAGGAAAGCGTTTATATCACATATATATATATATATCATAATATCATATTTATATAATATTTTATCATTATTTATATCATATTTATATCATTTTATATCATATTTTATCATATTTATATCATATTTATATCATATTTATATCATTTTATATCATTATTTATTTATATCATATTTATATCATATTTATATCATATTCTCATCGTGGCGTAACATACAATTTCTCATCTATTAGAAAAGATACTTTGTCAAGACTCCAAGACATGACTAATATTGACTCTTCTGGTAATCTGATCCAAGGTCTAATCAAAGGCAATAAAATCAGTTCGTAATATAAAGGTTTCGTTTTATTAATTGTATCCTGGTATCAAGTAAGTATACAGGTTTAGTGAGGGATAAGTTTGTTGGTATTTTTGTTGTTCTTTATATATATATATATAATATATATATATATATATATATATATTATATATATATATATATATATATACTATA